GTATAAAATGCCTATAATTGAATGGCTATATGACTAGTGGGATGTTGACATATATTCATGAAAAGATCTTTTAAGATTACCCTAATAGCCTTGCAACAAACTGTCATACAGTAGTTGGTATTAGTGATTTAATTCGTTGCATCTCAAACCACAAATACTATCATGGATGTCATATGGACTGTGAAGGTGAGTTTGCACTTTGCATCAGAAGTGGACTTTGTATATGATTTTCCCCTATATATTATACAGGGTGACGTTCTTATGAAAATCATCATCTCGCGCAAACTGTGAACTGTCACAATTTAATCAATCTGATACACATTAAAGTTCATATGTTGCACTTTTTGAACTTTGATGTGACCATGCCAACAATATAGTCAGTTAAAAAAATATGATGGTAGTTTCGTAAATCAATCAATGTGTTATGAAAACGCAAAAAAGTACATCATAAAAACTTAACAGTGTACCCCACATTGGAAAAATAGTGCAACAGTTCACAGTTTTCGTGAGAAATATGATTTTTATGTGATTTATAACCTATAAGAGTGTCAATTTGTGAGGGGTTGAGAGTCATAAGAAGTCTTGAAGTCCGCAATGAATAGGATAATATATGGAGTTCCGTAAAAAGTTAAAAAATGCTTTTTGTGAAAACGCTAAAAAGTACGGAGTACATTATAGAAATTAGAGCTATGCTAAAGGTACCTCAAAATTGTACCCCATTTTTTCCCCACTCCTAATGTGTGGCCATAAATGGGACAACTCATTTAAGTGGGGCACCACTTAAATGAGTTGCCTCATTTGTGACCACACAATTAGGGGTGAGATAAAAATGGGGTACAACTTTGGGGTACCTTTAGCATTTTAAATAATTAATATTTACACGCTATTCAAAAAGTCAAAAAACTGTGTTGAAGTGAAAAAATTGTATTCACAAATATTAAAAAAGTTTAATGGCCGCAGGAAGTATAAATCACAAATAAATAAAGAATAGAATAATTGGTGAAGCATATTAAATGTGAATCTCAATCCATTAATCTAATACTCTCTCAATTCATTTATACCAGCACCAGTAGGTTCTATGGCTCAAGTAAAAGTAAAGAGAGCAAGTATTACTCCGTAATAAATAACTCTACACAGTAGACAAGAAGATGTTGCTAGCTTGTGCAAAACTTTTGCCCTGAATCTTCTCTTTGTCAGAACAAACTCGATCTTCAACTACCCCTAGCTAGCCTGAAACAATTTCTGATAATGGATATTCTTCATCAACATTATAAATATAGTCAAGCCAAGAAAAGACTGATCTTCTTCATCAGCTTCTATTGTGGATCGGATCAGACCCTTTACTAACTGTTCTTTTCTCCGATTGGTTAGGATCAAGGTTCCTCATGGAAGGAGCCGGAGCTTCACTCATTCTTGTATTCAGACCCTGAAAAGCAACTTCCTGTAAAACCCGAGAGCTTCTCAGAACAATATCCATACTTGTCAGAGCAGAAGACTTCTCAGGTTGAAAGGACAAGAACATGAAGCCAGTTGAAAGAAACAGAATGATGATCCTCCAAGAAAGGCAGCCCATATTATATTTTCTTGAACTAAGAAACTGGAGAGTGGTGCAGAAGAAGCAGAAGTAGCAGAAGAAGAAGGAAAGGATGATAATGTGAGAGGAAAGAAGCAGTGAAGAGAAAGATTTATATCTCCTACATGGGGGAATGACTGTGCAGCTTATATATATGTATGATATGTGGCAATTGCCTGTGCAATTGAAGCTTGATGAGTTTGATCTTTTATGGGATTTGTGAAGAGGGGTAATGATAACAAAAAGGCTGATAAAGCAGGAGGTCCCAAAACATAGAGACAAGTTTAGAGATTCACCCCAATCATAAGCCAGCCTGATATAGAAGCAATATAAGGCTGCTGCTTGGTGAAGGCAGGTTTGAACAAAAAGGCAATTCATCAAGTGGGGGTGGGGGGGCTGGGGGCACACCATTCTAGGGAAGCCAAGAATCTTTAGATTTGTTCCCCACAATCCCAAACATATGTCTTCTTCCTCTTTTGGACCAATCCATTATGATGGATCCCTTTTGCTCACTGATCTGCCATGTCATCCTCACATTGTGTTCTACATTTGAAATGGACTTGACCGTACATCTAAAAGATTGCTCTTGATAAATAGATATTACTTCCGTTCCCGATAATTGTCTTAAATCATTCGTTTACTTTTCTTTTTGGGATGTTCCAAACTAATTGTCTCGGTTCTGTTTTGAAACAAAATCTTTCCAAAGGAAGCTAAATTAGACTTCAATATAGTGTACATTATTGTTACAGTACCAAAACCTCCTACTTTGGCAAGCACAAATTTTGGAGAAATTTAAACTATGTGATAACATTGATGTAAAAGAGAAACAGGTAGTCCCTCTATAATAGGTAAGGTACATTTTATGTTTGGAACAAGTTTCAAGAAAATAAAAAGAGATAATTGTAACTTTACATTTGTAAGAGAATAAGAAAAGTATGATAGGAAAACAAATAAAGTTAAGGTTTGTGAATTGTGATGTTTAAATTAGGGAAGTGATCTTATGTTAATATATGTAAAAAACCAGGACATACGGGTTAACAGATTTAACTCTTTAAGCAGAATGTGAAATTTTTATGAAATTCATTTCTTATATTTCTGATTTGTTAAATGAACATTTTTCTTTTGTAATCTGCTAAATCACGTTAATTTAGATAAATAAATACTTTCCCTCTATTTCTTCTTCCCAAAAACACCACATGCTAAACTTGCAATGGACCGGTTTATTAGTATTATAATTATTTTGTTAAAAAAATGAATCAGGCAAAGAAGAGATTAGAGATTGATACAGTTGCAAGAAAGCCAGATAAAGTAGAGATATTGGGCAACGTGATCAATAGAGAGATATCTTCAGAAAAGAAAATCCATTAGCTTGCTTTTTATTCTTATTTCACTTTAGATTCTTCCTAGCTCTTCTCTCCATACAACAAAAAATCACTCTCTTAATTTTTTTTGTGTGCTTATTGTGCTGTTTTCTTTATGCCTTTCTTTGGATCGTGCCCTCCCCAATCTCTACTCTCAAAATGTTACTTTATTTTCAACCAGTAGCGAAGTAAAGTAGACCATATGATATTTGATTATTTTCACAGCATTATTTAGGAAAATAACAGTAATTTTTATTAATCAAATCAGAATTCAAAACAAACAAAATGCAATAGGGAGTTTTGCACCATTAAAGTTTGTGGATCTCTCAAGTCTTAACTATCAACAATTTGCACTTTTTGCTCTACCGCCAATCCAAACACACTTTTGGTAATCTCTTCACTATTTAGAGCCCGTTTGGTAATACTAAAATCGGCTGATTCTGCTGAAATTTATGAAATTCTGATTGCATTGGTTAATTCGGCGATTTATGATAAAAAATATTTAAAATATATTTTATTAATAAAATAAGAAAAAATACATGAAAATATAGGTAAAATGATCATCTACAACAACTTCAGCCAATACAGTCAGAAAAATAACTTCATCAAACTCGCTCCTAAACTAACGCAAATTGAAGATGCTTAGCAGATATTATCTTATTTTTATGTATAAATATTTTGGACTCAAACTTGACACAATCTGAAAAGAAATGTTGTTAAATCAACTTCACACTTTGACTTCACACAAATTAAGGAAATAAATTTGACTTTACTGTAGAATACACTGTTGTGACACTGTTTGGCACTGTTTTGGCAATGTTTGACACGAGTGCGTATACCGTGCAACGGGTGCATGGTGAGCATCATGCACCCATTGGATATTATTTTCTCTTTTTTTAAAAATAGTAATAACTTTTTTATTTTTGATCCGATTTTTATAAAATTTATATCAACATTTTTTATTTTTCATGATCTTTCAAATGAGACCAATATTGCCTATGTAATTTTAACATATTAACATTTGCGTGTAAAATATGTAACTTTACGTGTTAAAATATGTAACTCACGTTCAGTCAGGCCAAATGCAACTCGTGTGTATAAATATGTATCTCTACGTGTAACAATATGTAACTTTACATAAAAAAATATGTAACTCGCGTTCAGACATGTCAAATGCAACTCGTGTGTATAAATATGTAACTCACGTGTATAAATATGTAACTTTACGTGTAAAAATATGTACCTTTATGTGTAAATATATGTAAGTCGCGTTCAGACATGTCAAATGCAACTCGTGTGTGTATATATGTAACTCGCTTACAAAAAGATATAACTTGCTTATAAAAAGATGTAACTCGCTTATAAAAAGATGTAACTTGCTTATAAAAAGATATAACTCGCTCATAAAAAGATGTAACTCAATGTATTATCAAATGTAACTGAGACCACTGATCCACTCCCAAACGGATTCGATCTTCCATTTCACAAACCTATCATATCCCAAACAGATTCGATTTTCTTTATAATCCAATACTCATTAATATAATAGTTCGATAATTTCTTAAAATTACATAAGCAATATTGGTCTCATTTGAAAGATCATGAAAAATAAAAAATGTTGATATAAATTTTATAAAAATTGGATCAAAAATAAAAAAAGTTATTATCATTTTTAAACAACAAAAGCAAAAAAAACCAGCATGCTGCGTCGTTTTACAACCGAGCGCACCATCCTCATGGTGCGCCAGTTGCATGGTATAATTTGCCGTTTGACACTGTTTTGCACTGTTTTGATATAGATAATTTGTCAAATAAGGAAGGGAGAAGAAGCGTGCAGTTTATTTTGGACCTACCCAAAATGGAAAATGTGAAGTTTATTTAGGACCGGAGGAAGTATCTGTTACCGATGAACTTGATTTATGGTAGTTTAAAAACTCTTTATCTATCAACTATAATGGGGTGAGAACTTGGTCAGTTAGGTTTGTCAAGTTTCCAAAACATGCCAAATTCAATGTAGATTGTAGAATGTGAGCAAATTGGCAATATCACCAATTCACCATACAGTTGGGAGATCAAGTGAAAGTTAACTGTTGAAAGTTTATGCTCCAAGCCTCCAAATTAGTACAATGTGGATGTAACAATAATCCAATACAGAATTACAGATACATAACAGTTATATATTGATATATAGAACCATTAGTACATATGAAGCTGATCCTTGAAGTTCTCAAAGATAGCTTAATGCCCTTCATTGGTCTTCTGAATTTAAACGAAGAAAAAACATTTCAAACAATACAAGATTCTCCAATTCTCCAACAGTCCAACATACTCGCTCTGTATCATAACAGTTATACTAGATGATATTACATTTTCTGATTGGTAGACTGAACTTTTCGTGAATTTAAACCGATACCCTAACTAGTACATTAGATAAGTTAAACACAATATGTCCAAATTTAACAATTTCTCATAAATTCAAAATAAATATTAATTTCTATACCCTGTTTATTTTCTTTTAATACATTCATCTCCGCTCAAATCTTTTATGTTTACAAAAGCATTTGTAAGCATATTTTGACTTAATAACTTTCAAGTAAGATCACAAAAGAAAACGAATTTGGAATGCAAATTTAGAGTTATTCAAATTTACAATAGAGTTTATTATATTTGGATGCATTGTATATAATCCCATTTAAATATCAGGGTACTACAGGCATTTAGGGAAAGTTTAATCTGCCGATAGAAAATGTAATACCATAGAAGTTCCATAGAATTTCTGAAAAAGATGTGACATTTGGTAGGCCTTCTCGTGCATAAGCAGCATTAGAAAAGAAAACAAAGTAACGCTCATACTTGCTCACTAATGGCACTTGGCACTTCAACAGCAGTCACCGACGGCGGGGCAGGGGCTGGAGCTGGTGCAGGCTGTGGTGTTATTGCAAAGTGTAAACCTCTGTGCTGCCCTGCCTGCAGCATAAACGCTACTTCCGCTGCTGACAACGCTGCTGCTGACTCCTGCTTTCATGGATTCAACTTTACGAACTATACATATCATACTATAAAATACACAAATCTCTAATATGTATAAAATAAGATATTCCTTAAAAACATTCCAGGAAATGAGTTGTTTACTGTATTATATAATGTGACCATAAATAGAAATGCATAAATATGTTTAAAAAACATAAATATGTTTCAAGAAAATAACTTTATAGTTTCCAAAATAGAAATTATTTTCCCAAAAAGTTTAAATAATCACATAAAACGTTTTACTTCTGTTTTAAACCAGAGAAATCATTTTAGATATTCATGTGTTGAAAACAAGAATATCAAGAAAACATTTTCGCAAAAAAAAAACAATTAACCTGAATATATACAGTAATAAACGAAGAGGCATAAGGGTAGTCCGACTATTCGATTGGAGTAGTTTGGCTACTTGATGTCTTATAAAACATGCATCCTGATGCTTTTTATTACCCAAATATAAAGCCCTTTTGTGTACATTTAGCAAATGGCAGGATTAAATGATAATGTTAGCAGCCATTAGACTCTGACCTGTCTTTGTCTTCGACGCTGCAATATACTAATAAACCAAGCCATTATGTAGCATGGAATAAGAAAAGCAGCTGCTCGAAGCAAAAAAAGCTGCAATACACAAGCATTAAAATTAAATCTTTGGCATGGCAAAAAAAATCCCAGTAATGATATCCCACTTACAGAGAAGATAGCAGAAACGTCATCATCGTCTCCATCACCATTTCCAATGCTCAGAGCATGCTTTAACAGTAGAAGAGCCATTAACTATCACAAACCAAGAAGCAGGATTCAGATGTGGTAAAGGGAAGATGGGATAATCAACGTTACAGAAAATTTAAATGACTGAACTAAAATAACTTATAGAAGAGTACTGTAGACATGGCACGCCTTGACAAGGAAAAATACATGTCAGAAGGATAATAATATTAATAATAATAATAAAAGACAACATTTTTCAATATTCATATGACCAAGAACATACAACTTTTAAAAACATGTCAGATTTCAAAAGTATTAAGAGTTGTACATTGTCAAAAGTAAAATGTTATAACTTAGCCAAATATGACTCTTGTTTTGGGATGGAGGGGCTAGTAAATTATTTTTAAAGGCCATATTTGAAGAAATAGTGCGAGTGACAACATACATATATACGGTATGTGGGGCAGGGAGGTAGTAATTGCTTACAAGGAAAGCAATAGAGCGACAAAAAGCAGCTCCGCTGGCACTTGAATCAGCATAGTCATCATAGTCAGCATCTAGAAGATGGCGTTCTGCTGCAACCATTGCCAAAAGTCTGGGGTCATGTAAGTTTAGCTGATCTCCAGTAACAGTCCACCCCGGTCTGCAACATACACAAATGGACATGTAAGGATTAAGGAATAATATATACATGTATATAATGTGTCTGGGTAATTATCAAGGTTAAAGATCCTAAGGGTTTGTCTGGAGGAAGGAAAGAAAACATAGATGAAACTTAGAATGAAATTAAATGTGGGGTAACTAAAGATAGGCTAATTAAGATTATTCTAGAATCCAGATATTGGTGAATACTAATTTTGTTCACTCATGTCTAATCTATGGAAAATAACTTCATGTTCTCTTTTCATTTGTATTTTCCAAATTAAACCCAAACGTGACATAGTAATTTCCTTGGCATAGTTTTTCCTTTTCCATATCATTTTCTGTGATCCATGCATACCCTAAATGTACATGGTGAGGAGAAGAAAAAATAAACTTGCCCGAAATCAATAGAAGTATCTTCAGACTGTGGACGAGGAAGAGCAGTATAGCCAGGTTGGTAGGGCTGCACAAAAGAAGGAAAATTTTGAGAGATTCACACAAACTCCTATTGGTTAGCTTTTCACAGCTCATAAGGCAAACCCAGAGTGAAGTTCCTACAGTTGAAGGGATATATCAACAGAGATCAAGGTTCTCTTTAAACCTAAAGAACTACAGAAACTTCATAAGATATAATGAGTATTTCTTAAGATTATACGTAAATACCAGTTTGAAGACCAAACTGATACCTACCATCGTTTTTTTGCAACATGATACCTACCATCGTTACACACGAGTTTTCAAGACTATGAAACTCAGTTTTGTTTAAATGTTAAAGCATGCATCATAAAGCTTATATTGACAGAGCTAGTTATGTACTTGTCACCATTTATCAGCATAGAAACAGTTTGATGAATAACAACACCAAAAAATTGAACAAAAAATTACATAGACGAGTAAATATGTCCACTTAATAATGATAGCATTATCTCCGCCCTAGAGAAAACAATGAAAGAGAAGGGTACCAGGTGGATTCAAAATCCATTTATCTAAACCCTTATACGTCATTAAGTTGTTCAGTGATACTTCTAAAAATATCTAGTGATGTAAGTATGTAACTCAATAGCATAATCCATTAGGCCATTTACAGTTATAAAAGGAGCAGCAACTGACCTGATGACATATCTCACAAGTTATATCCCCCTTTTCATCGCACCATCTTTGGACACACTTCCTGTGTGCAAACTGGATTTAAGACATGAGAAATAAGAAAATGAAAAGAATGTGGCAATCACTTAACACCAAAACATACTATGATTTTTATCAATTAAAAAAAATCGAGCACAAAAGTTCACTAGTTCTACTCGGCCAAACATCCACCAGGAATTGATTTAAGTGTTGCACAACAACCAAATAGATGATACTTGAACGATACAGAGGAGTATATAAGGCATATTATTAGATTAGGATAAGTGCCATGTGGAGCACTTAATAGATGGTGCAAGATTCTCATAAAAATATAACATTAGAATGAAATCTTTTTATTTGACAACTGAGCATCCAAACAAAGAAATTACAGAGTTGATTTTATTGCAAAAGAACCAGAGAGTGTACAAACTTGACAAGTTTCCATTCATAAGAAAAAGCAAAAGAACACAATGAGTACCTTCAAGCTGCCTCTGCAAGAACAAGGAACTTCCATATTGTTGACAGTGTCTTCCTCTTGGCAAATGCGGCATTCTACAGACTGAATTAGCGGCTCTTCTTCACCTAGTATGTCATCTTCTTCATCCTTTATATCAATAGCCAATGCAGATTGATCATCCAGATTATGAGGGAGGGAACTGCTTCCTGAAGGTCTGGATGCCTCAGAACTTTTCAATATTTTAACAGATTCAGGGCTTATTAGGCGATCATTGCTCAAGACCATGTGCTCTCCCATTATACTTCCTTTTCCAAATTTTACTACAAATACCACAAAGAAAATGTTATTATTACAGACAATATTGAACGAAGAAAAAAATCTAAAGCTTAATTCTTTTGCAGCTCCACTTCTAGATTTTAGTTCTTTGCTAAATGGTTTTGCATTCCAAGACAAATTACAGTCAACTCTATATCTGATACCATGTAAAAGCAATACTAAAGCTCAATAATAAACCATAAACAGTAAAACCAATGAGCTTTCTTGCTTCTTTCGTCATTTCACATCATTTCCTAGCATTATCGAACAATCCCAATACAAGAAATTTCGATTTGATAAGGTCAGAGCTCAAAAACATGATCATTCTTTCAAGGATCAAATGACAAACAAGATCGTCCGCGCAAATTAGAAAGAAACGACATCAAAAGATCTCAAAAACAAAGATTGTCCGCGCAATTATAACGAGATACACGTGGAAGAACAAAGACCTCATAAACCCCCAAAAAGAACTATTGAGATAGGGCTTAAAGCAGAGACAATAGGCAGCTGAAGTTACCAGAAAACGAAACTGTTGATAGATATGAAGATGAAGATTTGAATTTGAACGCGTAATGAAGTCTTTGCCCCCTTTTATGTCTTTCTTCTTCAGAAGAGATAAAGTCGCAACACGTCCTTCGCCTAGCTGCCTTGCTTTGAAAAATGATTGTAAAATGGTGGGTAGCTTCCTGGATTTTATCGATACGGATTGTATACTACGTATTTGTATATTGTTGTTTATCACAGCTAAAAGTAGACAATACGAGTAGTATAATACGGAGTACTCTATTTCGATCATGTACATATATATACGGATTTACTTAAAATGCACTCCGTATACTAATTTGTTTTACAGAAAATTAATTAAAATACACCAAACTTTGAAGGGATGTGAGATGAACATTCTAAACTTGCATATATAATTTAAATATGCAAATCTTATATAAAAAGTTATTTTAGTACCATAGACAATTATTATTTTTTTCAAAAAATGTAAATTTATGGTATTAATTGTATAATTTAAAATATTTTAGAATTCATGAAGACACAATTAACATTCTAAACTTTCATTGCGAAATAAATAATGTTACCCCCAATCTATATAATTACAACACTTTTAATTTGCTATTTTAATTTATACAATTAACCCCCATAAATTTATATTTTCGAAAGAAATAACACATGATAATAGTGCGAAAATAACTTTTTATATAAAGTTTGGGGTATTTAAATTACGGGAAAAATAATAAAAATACCCCAAACATTGAAGGGGTGTGAGATAAATACCTCAAACTTGTATATAAAAGTTATTTTTGCACCATTATCATGTATTATTTCTTTCAAAAATGTAAATTTTTTGGGTTAATTGCATAATTTAAAATAGCAAATTAAAAATGTTGCAATTATATAGATTTGGGATTACATTATTTATTTTGCAATAGAAATTTAGAATATTAATTGTGTCTTCATGAATTCTAAAATATATTAAATTATGCAATTAACACCATAAACTTACATTTTAAAAAGAAATAATACTTGACTATGGTGCTAAAATAACTTTTTGTATAAAATTTAGGATATTTAAATTACATATGCAAGTTTGGTTGTTCATCTCACACCCCCCTCCAAAGTTTAGAGTATTTTATTTATTTTTCTCTTAAATTACACTTTTTCAAAGTTTGGCATATTTATTTGTTTTAAGCATTAATATATTTATTTGTTTATTTATTTAGAATAGAGAGCATTAAATTCCTTTCTTTAAAGTTTAAACAGCGTTTGCAGTGTCGTGACAGCCACATCACAATGCCTTAACGAAAGCTCCTCCGCCATTTCTTCATCTTTTAATTACATTTGAGTGTCGTACGGTCTTTAGAAAAATAAAAAATAAAGTCATTATTTTATCGTTTTAACATTTTAAATGTAAACTTTATGAAATTCAATTTCGAAAAGTGTTCCTATTGTTATAGACAACGCAATTGCGTAAAAGGAAAATATATCTTTCAAAATATGACCAAGGGGATACTGTTTTTTTATAAAACGAACAATTAATTTCAAATGAAATAAGGCTCTAACATTTCTCATTAATAATACAGTATGCATATATATATACATACATACATACATATATATATATATATAGATAGAGGTATGCATGCTAAACCTTTGCTTTTTAGAGCAAAAAGACCAACTGAAATAATAATTCTTCTAATTTGATAATGAGGTAGCTAGAGAAAAAGTTTCGTATTTTTATTGAAAATAAGTCTTGCATAAAAATATAAAATAAGAGTATGAACCAAAATACCGTGATAAAGTACGAGTACTAGTCTTGAAATAATAGCTAAAGATTTTAACTTTTAAGTAGAAAGGAAGCTAACATCATACATAAAATAAGATAAGTGTATGAACCAAAACATAAAAGAATCGCTTATATGCAGAGGTTTTGGGCTACCCTAAATGCCAAACAAAAATCAATTATTAGCATGTCATATGATATCTAGCGAATAAAAAATTGACTTATGGATTAGAATGGTACATTTATTCATTTATTCATTGTATAAATTTAAAACTTAAAAAGTTACTTCGTCAAATTTCAATATGAGAAACATAGTGATATTACCTAGTAATAGTTTGATGATTAAACATTTAAATAAGCGCAAAAATATACTCCATATAACAAAACGCAAAGTCAAAACTATGTGTACATGTCTTCGAGTCCGAACCGGATTGAACCGAAATCCAACCATCAATTTCCAATTCGATATTGAGGGAGACCAGAATCGCATAGGACTTACTGGCTTCAAAATCGAGGATTCCGATTAAACAACGTGGTGATATGCATACATATACTACCTCGGCTTGTTTAACCCATTCAAAACCTAGCTGTAATAGGTCTTCACCTAATTATATATTTCAATCTACAAAATTTTAATTTATAAAACATAAATAAGATTTGAATTTTGTCGAAAAAAATATGACTTTATCATGATTAATAATGGTGAACTTAAAAAAAGATAGGAATATAATTATTGGAGACCAAAAAAGTAGGTGTATATCCATAAATGGACTTATTTTCGCCATCGGAGCCACTCAAACTTTTCTTTTGTACTGTTTTCGGTCTCAGATCAAACCAGACCAAATCAGACCAAAATACACTAGATCAGGTTTGGAAATATATAAAATACACATAGATCAGACATTTATCAGACCAAATCAAATCAGATCAGATCGGATTTAACAGGGGACCGAGGGCGGTCCAAGGATACGTCAGGGATAGTTGCCCTAATCGAAGACGAACGTCCTCTCTCCCTTGGAAAAGAACCGGAATCTTAGCAGGAGACAGGGGCCAAGCCCTTGGGGATGAGCGTCCCTACCCAATAGCGGGAAACCAAGATTCTGGCGGGAAACGCATTTAATGTAGAAGATTTGGTGGTTAGGATCATGGCACTCACAACCTGCCACGTCGGCATAGCCAACTACCCATTGATGGTATAAATAGTGGCATTTATTTCACTGTAAGGGGTTTGCAATTTGACATTCTAGCATTACAGCAGCAATAACAGTTCATAGTATAGTACAGTAGTTTCGGCCCTTCGGCTTGTAATAGTTCGAGTGAGTGAATACAGTTGTTTGGCCCATTTCCTGCTTGTTCTTCATCTTATTTGTCCATCACCCATTCGAAACCCCCGGATTACGTGTTGGGCCTGCGGGTTGAGGGAATAAACCTCAACACTGGCGCCGTCTGTGGGAATCTGAACAAAAAGTTTTTTTCAAACTAAGCTCTCCACCAAAAAAATCCTAAAACAATCACAAGGCAAGTAGAATGGCTCCTAACAATGTAGGAAACGCTCAAGACCTCTCTTCATAGCTGGCTCATAGCAGAAGGAGCCGCAACCAGGCGGCGGGGGCCCAGTCCAGCAGCCTATGGTCTCGGGGGGATTTCGGAGTACTCACTGACCTGATCCCCCAGGAGCTCCGGCGGGACCCCAACGGGAGGTGGAGCGCGTGCACACTGCTAACACCGAGCGGACCCCGCTCTCGCCTATCCGTTCCATGCAGTCACTCAGTGAGCGTACTGGTGAAAATAACCACTCTCGCCGTTCGGTCCATTCCAGGATCACCAGGAATATCCGTTCTCCGGAGATGGGGGCTTCGGAGGAGCCAGTCCCTTCGGAGAAACACAACGTCGCACGGTTCAAGACCCTACGCCGATAATGCCCCGTGACAGGCGGGCGGCTAGGGAGCGCACTCCCCTGGTGGATGGCATGAGGTAGGAGGCAGGAGGCCCGGGTCTACCATGGACAGCATAATTTTGGAGTCATGCTGAGGGGAAACACCTTGGCAGTGGCGAACCCCACGCCAGTTACGCCCGATCCGCGGGATGCCATACTCATGGAAATGCAGAGGCAGATCAACGAACTGAACCGACGTACGGAGGCTACACCGGCGCAGCCCAGGATTGCACTTTCATCCCCTTTTTCTACCAGGGTAATGGCAGTAGACATCTTGAGGGGCGTCTGGCCCCCGGGAACTCAGATTTACGATGGGGTCGGGGACCCCAAGGCCCATCTGCTATCCTACCAAGGAACACTCTCTATGTTGGGAGCCTCCGACGAGGCCATCTGCAGACTTTTCTTCGACACTCTCAGAGGACCGGCGCAGGAACGGTTCGGGAAGCTCAAACCCGGATCCATCGATAGTTTTGAATAACTCTCTCGGCAGTTCATGGCGCAGTTTGCGTCAAGCTCCACGCCCAAGAAACTTTTCAGCTGGTTGAAGAACGTCCGTCGGAATAGGGGGAGTCCTTATCCACTTTCCTCATCAAGTGGAGGGATGAAACCCTGAAAGTTGAAGACCTGCCGGAGAGCACCGACATCACCCTCTTCACCAACGCACTCGCAACCGGGGACTTGTATTTGGACCTAAAGAGGAACCCCGGGAGCAATTATGCAGAGGTGTTGGCCACGGCACAGAAATTTGCGGCAATTGAGGAAGAGATCGCCCAACGAGATGGAACGGTGATCCCTGTTGTGCGCAAGATATCGGACCGACTGGGATCTGGGCCAGCAGAACTCCTGACATCAAAGAAGAAGAAGACGACCGGTGGATACGTCCCATGGGCCGCACAGGAACGCCCTGCGGACAGTCACCGTATGGAGGCCACACATGATCCCTTGGCCTACCCCATCAGCCAGATTTTTGGGGCCATCAAGGACAAGGGGCTACTCAAGGAGCCGGTACCCACCAAGGGGCACACGATGGGCCGGGACGTGGAAGCCTACTGTGAATATCATCACAAGCCGGGACACCGTGCGGATGACTGCAAAAGTTTGAAGTATGCCATCGAGGAACTCATCGAGAGAGGATACCTGGGGGAGTTCACGGCGGGAGGAACGTCCCAGAGTCCCTCACAGCATACGCCACATTCGGCCTGTTATGCACGTAGAGTGGTTGTCCAATGTCATCCTAGCACCCAAGGGGTCCACATGGCGGATGTGCGACGATTATTCTGACCTCAACAAGGCTTGCCCAATGGACCCCTACCCAGTGCCTAGGATCGATCTTCTGGTAGATGAGACTGCAGGTTGCGAGCTGCTCAGCTTCATGGATGCCTTCAGGGGATATCACCAAGTTTTCATGCACCCGGATGATGCCGAAAAAACTGCGTTTGTCACATCAGATGGGGAATATTGTTATGTTGCCATGGCGTTCGGCCTGAGGAACGCGATGGCAACCTTCCAAAGGATGATC